GACATTCTTACCAAATTAAATAAAGACAATTTCGTCCAAATGTTTTACCTTTCTGTTACACGCTTAATTTCTATTATATCTATATTACTCTCCTAATTATATCCTCCACAAATAATATTAAGCTAATTCACCCATAAAACTATTTGTCGTAATTTCATATATCAAAATTACAGTTGTTCTCTTTTTGGGATGGAGAGTTGTTCTTTAGATCGAAATATTTAAAGACTAATTCTAGATACCGAAGAAATTATGAATGAAATGTTCAAAATTTTCACGATTTATAAAAAAAAAAATTACAATTGTTTGGTGAAAAATCATCTACGTATTTGTAATTGTTAGTATTTCATACGTTTTAAAAAAATAAAACGGATAACCGTCAAACCTAATGTCCCTGTAACTAATAATATTAACAAAACTTCCACAGTTCCACGTCTTACACATTCCAACAAAATATCTCACTGAACCGACCAACTCCGATTAAAAGATTGATATAATAATAAATAAATAAAAATCGTGGGAAGAAGTAAAAGAGTAGAATATCCATCAACATGCAAATCGAAATGGGTCAATTTGCTCACTAATTAAAAAATAATAATAATCAATTAAGTAACCAAAATGATTATATGAGGCTAAATAATAAATATTAGATTTTAGGATTTGGTTAGAATTTTAGATATAATTTTTTTTATGATTATTGATGCCAATTTCTCAATCGAAATTGCATTTCATTTTTGACGGCTATCTGAAAACAACAAAATCGACACGTGCATGGCCACCACCATCCTTCACACGCCACGTGTCTTCTTCCACCGCCTTGACCTGCCCTACCATGACACGTTGCGTGACGCAGCTTCTTATCTCTTACTTTACGTACTCCACATTGTACTTTACTATAAAAAGATGAACATGTCTTTCAAAAGGATTCATTTTTCAGAATCAAATCCAATCTTTTTATAATAATACCAATCAAAAACCTTGAGAGATTCTTCCAAGTTTTGTTTTGAAGCTATAGGCAAAGAGAATTTAATGGCGATGTTACAAAGGAAGTCGTCGATAGATACAGAGCCAATGACATTGAATCTCGATCAAATAGAAAATGCTCGAGAGGAAGCAATGTATGTTATAAAGACCAAGACATTTCAGGAAGCTATGGATATTTTCACAAAGGTATATATGATTGTTTACTTCAAATTACTTCTTTTTCTTTGTAACGTTTAACTAATTATGGAAGTGGAAACAAAAAACAGGAGACACAAGAGGGCTTAAGGGCTAATCAAGAGAAAAGATGCATATATTTGACG